TCCTGTGTTAATATAATTTGTTTATACTTCTTCAGAGAATGTCACTTCGCGCCCCTAAGGGTACGTTTCCACTGAGCGCGTGATGCGATGCAACGCGACACGAAAGAAGTTCAAGAATAGCGTTGTACTTCACACTAATTCACACTAAACGTGTTACTGTAACGCAATGTATGAACGAGCACGTAATCTAGAATCTTGGAGGCCTAGAATCATCGACAACATTTGCGAATGAAAATTTTTGACATGATACTATTGCATGGACAAATGAAACTTATGGAAAAGAAAAATCGAAAGTTTTTACCGATTCTGGGAGTGTCCCATACTTAAAACGAGACCAACTCATGGGAACTGGGAACATTTGATACAGGAGCTCCACTTGTTATGATCATGAAACCTACTTCAACTTTATGAGAATTATCATAAACTTTTAAATAAATTCTTTCTTTGGTTGGATTATAACTAATACAAATTGGCAAACACAACAAATTTTCGAGAACCAATCTGTGTAGAAACTCGATTATCATTAACAATTCGGTCAATTTGTCTCTAGAATCTTTTATCTCTAGAGTGTCGAGTAAAATTACAATGCATTACGTAAGGCCGGAATCAGATTACGCATTGAAGAATGAGATTAAAGATTAAAGATTGAAATTTCACCAATGAGGACAAAGAAGTTTTGACTCCTTTTGTTCTGATTGGTCAAACTTCAATCTTTCAATTTTCAATCTCATTCTTTAATGCATAATCTGATTCCGGCCTAAAGAGTTGCGCGTCAAATGATATAATAAAATGAGATATTTTGATTAGTTAAGGGTCACTTTCGCCAAGCTCCGATTAACTTAACAGGCCTAATAACTTTGCAGTATTTCAACTGAAGCTGATGTCGGAGAAAAAATGCAAAGAGAGAAGTTATAAATATAGATTTGTAATACTAAGTTACTAAGCCTGTTAAGTTAATCGAAGTTTAGTGAAAGTGGCCCTAAGTGATCTGTTCTAATGGCTGCATCCAGAAACACGACTGCTCACCGAGAGCTCAATGAGATCTTTTACATGTTTGGTCTATATTTTTAAATCTAATGGAATATGCCAATCAAATGGAAGAGCTCACTGAGCGCTCAGTGAGCAATCGTGCTTCTGGATGCCCCTAATAGGGTCGCAAGTCGTAAGCCGTAAGAAATTGGCCAATTACAGTTAAATGTGAGAAGAATAATCGACTATGATTGGTTAATTTCTTACAGCTTAACACTTATGACTCTATTGTAGAACAGGCATCATTCATGACGCGAACGGACGACGCGCTCAGTGGAAACGTACTCTTATATTCGTCAAATTCTAAAATTTGACGTGTATTTTATATGCGATGTAAAAATATGGAACAAAAAAATATCGAAAACCATGATTGATTCTATAAACAGGAACAAGAAAAGAGCTTGATGAAAATCGATAAGTTAGAAAATGATAATTTAATGATAATTTGTCATTGTTATTCACATATCCTTTGCTTTAATTAATTAGAAACACAAATTATTTTCCCATGTAACTTAAATTATAGCAAAAAATGTTTTGTGATTCAAAATTCATATTTTTTTAATTCTTTGTAGATTATAATTAATTACCGACATCAAGAAACTTTAGAATTAAAAAGAATTTGAGCGACTATTTTCCTTCTCAGAATAAATTCTGCGTATAAAAATACACAAAAGTATAGGAAAATTGAAGGAGAGAGTGTCTAGTCATAATGAAATTGTCGTTTTATTTTATTTTCTCTTGTGCTCCCCACTTTCACGTTCCGCCGTGTTGGAACGTTTGTTCCGGACCGACAGGCAGCGTGTTCCGCCGGTTCCGCGTTCCGCATCTGTTTTCCCGCCCGTTTAAAGCCCATCCCGCCAAAACTGCAGTCACAGCTGAGGTGCGCGGGATATGTTTGTCGCTTGATAAGTGACGTGATTCGTCGTGAGTTCGGCGGACAATCGCTCGTTAACGTGTTAATCGCTGACGTCGGCAAATCCTCCAACGATTTGCTAACGAATATTTCAGAAACTTTCGATAACTTCAACGTAGCAGTGACTCACGCGACCAAGTCGTTGCTCTCGTGGTTTACGAGGACGTTGCCACGGAAGGCAGAAAATCCCAAGAGGGTGCGTATAAATTATATTAAATCTCATTGAATCTCCCGTTTGTTGACTGTCTGTGGAGTTAACTAAAAATTCAATTCGAAATAATGAGAACATATTTGACTTTATTACAAAAATTATATATCTACAACAAAGTCTCCACGTGTAATTGTACTGCGTACCTTTTTAGAGTCAGAAGCATTCATCGAAAAAAAGAAGGGTTTATCGACTTTGCATTACATCCCTTTCTGTGCTTGGTGACAGTTTTCATTAAGGAATTATTGGTGAAAACGATGTCGGGCAAGCAGACTACCATTTCTTTTCCCATACGGAAGAAATCTAATTTTTATGGTCGCAAGGAGGAAATCAAGGAGGATTTCACAAACGCGACGGCAAAGGACACGCCATCAAGGTACATCCCAACCGTTAAGAAAATTGTCACTTTGACCAGCAGTGAGTCTGAGTCCGATTCTGATATTGAGAATACAAAGGAGAGGCACAAGATAACGAGGGAAACAAGGATTGAGAATACAGGCCATACGCCAAGGCGACGAAAGTGTGATGATTTGAATGGTAAATTTATACAGGAGACATTATTTCTTACTTTATTTAATCCTCTAAAGCTAATGCCAAAGGCTGTTTTCCTTTTAGAAGACACAAACATTATTTTATCTTCTTGGCATTTAAAGAATAATAAAGAAAGAATGATACTTGTGTTGGCTGTGTCTGTCTTCTAAAAGAAAAGTTAGTCTGTAATATAGTTACTAAGGTTGTTCTGTTTAACTGAATTTTTTGAGTCATCTTTCCTCTTTTTCATATTGCAAACAGATAAAAAATACTGGATTTATGAGATCCATTTAATATATGTTGATTAATAATAATTTTGATTACAGAATTGTTGATAAAAATGACATCTGAATTGTTTTTACTTATAAGAATCTTTGTTATCGAAATAATCATTGCAGTAGGTTTAATAGGCTCACATCAGCTCTGAATTAATAATAACAAAATTATTGTAAGCAGATTGTTTCACAGTTGTGCCTTTTTCGCGACTTGTGATAATTATGAAATGTAATTTTGCTTTATACATAGTAATTATAGTGTGGACATTTATATTTTGCATAAGTTTGTTGCCAAATTATGAATTATGTTTTATTTCAGAACACACTCCTAGCCCACCAAAGCAGAGAAGGGATAAGGAGTCTTCCTTGACGCCGTCTACTCTTCTCAATAGATTAATTCTGTCCCCTAAGAAAGAGGGTAGATTAGCTCCCAAGCAATTATTTGACTCTTGTCTCCTCGAAGAAAAGGATGAGTTAATTTTTAAGCCAATAGGATTCAACAAATATCAGAACGCGCGTAAATCATTGCACGGTTCCATAACGGATAACTTACCCGGTAGAGAAGAGGAATTAACTAAATTGCAGACATATCTTCTTGAACATCTGGATCAAGAAACAGCGGGCTCTCTGTATATTTCTGGCCCTCCGGGCACTGGTAAAACCGCGTGTCTGTTCAAGATCATGCAACAGTCGGATGTAAAATCGAAATTCAAGGTGGTCTACATTAATTGTACCAGCATGAAGTCCGCGACTGCCATTTATGCTAAAATAATTCAGGAACTGTCCATACCCGGCATGACAAAGTCGGGAAAGAACAGTAAAGCTATTATAGAAAAATATTTAGTATCTAAACACAAGACGCTACTTCTGGTGCTGGATGAGATAGATCAGTTGGAGAGCAAAAAGCAGTCTGTGCTGTATTCCATATTCGAATGGCCTTCCAAACCGAATTCCAAGCTGATTCTCATCGGGATCGCCAATTCCCTGGACCTGACTGACAGAATATTACCTAGACTGCAAGCCAGATGCGAATTGAAGCCGGTGTTGATGCACTTTGCCCCATACTCCAAGCAACAGATATTTGACATAATATCTACAAGACTGAATGAGGCGAATGCGACCAACGTTTTTACTCCGCCTGCGATACAATTCCTCGCGAGTAAGGTAGCTGCGATTTCTGGGGATATCAGGAAAGCCTTGGATATCAGCAGGAGAGTGATCGAACTGGCTTCATCGCATCAAGTGGCGCAGGTGCTGCGTCCGACGAATGATAACGGTAATTAATATTTAAGCGACACGATATTAGGATAATGTAATATCAATAAAAAATGATATTAATGAAAATTATATGAATGTGTGAAAATGGATAATTGATAATTAATATAAATAAAGAATAATGGAAAATGTAGAAAATATAATTTTTTATTTTTAATCTAGATACAAATATAGAGCTCTCAAAGAAGGAAACTGAGGCAGTAGAAAAGTCCGTTGACTTGAAGGAAGTGGTAACAGTTCTGAATGGAGTCTATGGAGGCATACAGAATCTTAGTAACGAACAGGATACATTTCCTCTTCAACAAAAGTTGTTAATTTGCTCTCTATTACTTATCCTTAATAAAGGGAAGAATAAGGACATTACTATCGGAAGAGTAAGCTCATTAAAGTCACACATTATATATCATCATAATTAAATATTTAAATATAAAATTATAATAATTATATTTAAATATAAAATTAATAATTTAATTTGATTCATTAAATTTCTGTTAAATTTATAATTGTATAAAGAATTTAAATTATACTGTATTATTTTGTTTAAACGATGTTTTATTCCTTACAGTTGTATGAGGTGTACAGAAATGTTTGCAAGAAGCGTAACATATCCGCTGTCGATACTTCCGACTTTGTAAACATGTGTTCACTGATAGAGACCAGGGGTATTTTGCGAGTTGTCGGCAAGAAAGAGGCACGTTTGTGCAAAGTGAACCTGCAGTGGGATCAAGAGGAGTTGGATGCAGCTTTGCAGGACAAGCAGATGATGGCTGACATAATTAATGACGCAAATTGTTTGTAGAATAATTAGGGAAATTTAATGTTATATCGTTTTGTTGCACCTAATTTATTTTATAGATCCTTTTATATTTTGTATGTGTATATACTTTAACGTATCTTGGGTTTGTTACCAATTGACTTTTATATTGTCATCGAAGCATCATTTTTCTATACATCACTCTTTTAAGAGACAAATTTTAACGTTAGCGTTAATGTTAATTTGGACATTGTTATTATATCGCATGAGATTGATTGTATTTTACATACTGTGCATTTTATACAGTGTTGAATCTTAAAATTTATACAGAATGTACATGAGACGTTTGGTAAAGTAAGATGAAAGATATATTTTTGATAATTGCAAATGTAACGTTTAAGTATAAGCATATTTATGTGTATATTAAATAAATCGAAGTCTAGTTCTTTCGCCAGTGTTTTTCCATTATTTTTATATTTGACAAAATTTATTTATATATATAGTAAAATATATTTATAGAATAGTAAAAAGATAAAAAGGAATTACATTGATGATTAATTCTGGGTTTTAGATTTTAGATGTATTTCTAAAGTAAGATGACCAATTCTTTAAGAAGGAAAAAAGAATTAAAAAATCAATATTGTAATTAAATTTTATTAGATAAACATTTTTTAATAATTAATGAAACACATGAATTATATTATTATATTTGCAAATACAATACATCTAAGTCCAACGACATCAAGGACACTGTCTCAAGCCTCCTTATCACCAAGTCCGCTATTATAGGAGATAGAGGAGAGCCCATGGAAGTGCCGAAGCTTTGCTTATAAATTATATTGTTAAATGAAAAAAATATGGAATCGAGAATAAACTTTATCGCTCCCAAAAACTCCTCCCTGGAAGAGGGCAATCTCTGGAAATGGAATCCCTTGTTCATTAACACAGTCGACCGCTATCTCCATTGGAACATTCGTGA